AAGTTTATTTCAATATAAATAAACTTGTGAAAATAGACAAAATACGCCGTGCTTACAAAAGCATGTGTCCCGATTTATTTCTGGCTCGCATATAATAAATAGCAAACAACGCGAGTAAGTAAATATTCCAAGAATTCTCATAATAAAACGCGTTCCACTTTTCGAATAGTAGCGCATTGAAATAAAAAAAGGAAAACGAGAGACAGAAAAGAGAGAGAGAGAGGGGAGGAAGAAGAGAAGAGAGAGAGAGAGAGAGAGAGAGAGAGAGAGAGAGAGAGAAATGAAAAAGAAAACTGTAAGAAATTCAAAAAAGTTTATCTAAGCTATACGCTGACTCTAAAATGTCGAGAAGTTTTTGTAAAGCTTCTCGCAAAACTCCGTGAAAATGATAATGCAAACATTTTTGCGGAGACTTTTGGTACGCATTTAGCTAACGGCAACAAAAGTTCAGGATTTGTGCAAGAACTGTGAACGGAATAAGGCAGAAAACTGTGACATTCCGCGAATTTTCTCGAGTATAATAAAATATAATAAGTTTAACTCGTTTTGTGAAAATAGCTTTGTTAAGATTCTTTCATCACGTAGCACTTAATCTCTTCTTCCTGCTTCCTGCTAGACGCTTCTGACAATCCTGTCGAGAGAATCACGAAAAGTCTCCTGTAATGTTTGCCGAGCGTAAATCTGCTAAGCCACGGGTGCGTTTCCAGAAGATTAACTTGCCGTGATCCTGTAATATCGTGAGATCCTGCGAGAGAAACACCTTTGCGCCCCGCGATGACTATCTCGCAGCGTCTTATCCAATTAGCATGTTTTAGTCCGAGAGAACCTCAATGAGCAAGTTGCGAGATCGTAATGAAAGTGAATTGATTACATGTTTTATTTAAAAAGAGAAAGCTATTGAAAAGAAAAAAAAAAGAAAAAAAAACAAAGGCCGGTATTTATAGACAAATCTTATATTTAAGATCTCGTCTTAAGTTTTATCTTCAAACGCTCTGCAGCCAATAAAACTACTTATACACTATTTGAAGATAAATTTAAGACAATCTCAATACAAAATCCGACTTTGAATACCAAAAAAAAAAAAAAACTTCAAGCAACTGAAGTTTTTGTTTCAAATTCACTAGTTTTTATTCATAAAAATGCATTTGTATGATTTACGGCAGTTTACAAAGTTACCCAAGATTTATATGTTGCTTTGAAGATTTATGAATCATTATCTCTTTAGTTCGATGAAAAAGATAATCTCAGGTACCGATAAAATAAGAAACGTCTATGAAACGTTCGCGTTAAGTGACTTTATCGTGACTTTCCGTTTAATATATCGGCGAATACGCGATGTCACGTAAATATTTGACGATCAGAAGCGGAAATATTTCCAGACGTCTCTGCATTTTTCGTATTGTCGTTCCAACTTATAAGAGATTATACTCCAAAGTTGTACTGTTATATTGGATTTTCCTACACGAGAGATAAACTGTAGGCGCGCAGAAAAATGGGTTTTATATTTATTCACGACAATGAAAATACGAAAATGAAACATTAAAATGTTACGTTATGTGATACATCCGTAACGGAGTCAAAAATCGAAGCTATCGAAATGATATAACAGTCGAGAGGTCGCGCTAAACTCTGTCGTTTCATTCACGCCTGTTCGAGCACGCTACTTTCTCCCTCCCTCCCCCTCGTCTTTTATCATCTCGCACACGAAGCGATGGTAATTGCTTGAATTTCCGTGACCCTCGCGTAGATGAGCATTGCCAAGCGCTAGGTAGGCATCGCGCGCTAGCGGAGACAAGCGTTTAATTTACCTGGACCAAGTTCGCGCGCGCGCGCCAAGTCCTTGTCGCAGTCCGTGGCGCCGAATGAAATTGCGAAAGTTGTTCGTCTAGAACGACAATGGCGCAAACGAGGTGTGAAGCGAGGCTATGAAATATAACGGCACACGATGGCGACGAACGACTACGACGACAACTAGGGAGGCCTCTCAATGATGACTTTTTTCACCGCGCGCATCGTGTGTGCAACATCGTGATGATCAATATCGAGCGACGATTTCTCATCTGCGAGATCAATGTGTGCATATATTTGAAAAGAAGAAACGTTTTATTCGCGCACGAATACACCATCGACAGCATTGGTCGACTTAGGCCGAGATATGAATAATGCATACGATAAATTTGCGTCGCACGCATGCAAGCGCCCCGGTAATTCCATTAGCAGCACCCATTTTATCGTCCGATACCGTGGATTCAATTGAGTAACTCTTTTCACATCGCCAAGTGTCGCGTTCCGTTATTTTCTAAAACACACCCTACGCTACTGCGAGCGTACAAGTAGCACCGGTACGTGATCTCGATATATTTCTCGCACACCATAAACGTAGCGCGGAGCACGTGTTAACAACAAGTTCACTGACGCCTATTTTGTTGTTAAAATATACTTTGCTTATCTCGAAATTATTTTATTTTATTTAATTAATTAATTTTATTTTTTATTTTTTTTATTATTATTTTTTTTATTTTTTGATGAAAATATTCACAACGCAATAAAAACCATTTTATTTCTTTTATCATTTTTTCCTTTAAACGTTAAAAGAGGGTGTTTCATCGCAGAAGCGAGCTGTGATAAAACAAAAATACATTATATTGTAATATTAACAACACAATGCTGCTATATCAAAGCACCACACAAGCCACGTGTTATTATTCGACGGTAACTTTGTGAATATAAACAGAATATGTTGTTACAAAGCTTGACTGTTATCATACGAAATGCTGCAAATATATAACACGCACGCTTATTTTATATGAAACACCTGTGTCGCGCATCGATATACGATACATGCGCTAAGCAACCGTCTAAAGTTACTTTGTTCCGCATAGGCGCTATACATATTGCGGCATTAGAAAATTACTGCGCACCGTTGCAATCGTTACATGATACGCCACATGTATAAATGGCATTAAAAAAAAAAATAAAAAAAAAATAAATTTCATATTAACGTCATTGACGTTTTTTTTTTTTCATTTTGTATCAGCAAGAGAATATATGCTGTTTTTACTTTTTATGTGACATAATAATTTATGATTTATACGTCACAGGAGATGGTACCCTCATTATTCATGTGCGACGTAAATTAACCGTTTCTTCTTTTCTTTAAGACATACATTAATCATTTTAATTAATCGATAAAAACGACAAGAATATATACTTTTATTACTTTCTCTCCATTTACTCCGAGATGCATATCGATTTAAAATTTGAAATAATATATTTACGAACTTTATGCGCTCGCACACGCGCTACAAACTGTTGAAATTTGTGTTTCATTATTTCTGCTCTTGCATGTAAATATGTCCCATATATATATGTAAATAATTAAATATTCTTTGTCAAATGTCGCGAACACGATTCTTTGTATATTAATTTAAAGTGTCATTTAAGCTGTCCGTCACTAATGCGTTCATTTCAATTTGAGAGAAAGACATATATGTTAAATATTATATAATACTCTATTAAATATTATATTCCAAAAGCGAATATTTTATACATATATTACATATATGCATAGTCGCGAATTGCTACATATTTTTTCAGATATTTTCACATAATACTGAATAGCCGTATCATATGTTCTTTTCATCTCTCTCTTCTCACTCTTTTTTATCTCATTTCATAAGAAATTCAATATTTTAATGAATTTTATTATAAGCTCCTAATAATTTTACCCTTGATAATGTTTTTCTTCTTCTCACTTCATCGTAAGAATTATTACACATTATTCCCTTTGTTGCATTCATTGCAAACGCAATTAGTGTCTGTTTCAGCTAATTTTGTTGATAATGCAAAAATAACCGAACCGGCTGTTTGTACAGAATTTTGTTTTTGCGTAAAGTGTAAACTGATGACTTTGTTTTTGCGCACATTCCATTAAATTCTAATTAACACACAATCGTGTTACAAAAGAAATGTATTGTTTGAAGAGAAATTAAAGCTATCGCGCACAGTGGGAAATTGAAAATTTCGTTTTTTCGAGCAGCATAGCAAATTTTTCACCCAGCTTATTTAAATGCTCGTGCAAATAAATGACAGAAACTGCAATTTTGCAACAACAAAAAAAAAAAAAACAAAGGATTATATCGGGAATAATTGCGTTTCTCGCGTTTCTATATATATGCGCCTATATTTACCATCATCAAAAAATTGAAAAATTATAAATCATCCGCCCTTCTCAGTTTACATCGAGAACATACGGGGGTGAAGGTATTGTACGGGTATCACAGCAAACACAGCAAACAATCGACTTCCTCCTCTTCGTTTACGAAGCGCAAACATGAGCCATAAATCTCTACATTTCTTTCTCCTATCTCTCCTCTCGTGCTCTTTGACTAGAACAGCAGTCGTAAATCTTTCTTCCTTTTTCGAATGGCAAATGTCGCAAATCCAATTAACGTAATTAAACCGAATCTTAATTATCTTAGGCGGTGCTAGTAAATGAGATTTCATCTGTGTCATGAAATATCGGTTCGTTACTTTTGAGATATTAAATAGCCCATTTTCATATTAAAGAATCTCGCATGTATGTAAATGGATCACAAGTGTGACAAAAATGTTGTCTAAAAAAGTACCGATTTAATATTATTAATTTTTGAAAAAAAACGTCATACTAATACTAATGAGAGAGAGAGAGAGAGAGAGAGAGAGAGAGAGAGAGTGAGAAAACAAGTTAAATACATAATGATGATTTCTGTCACTAAATTACACTCGAGATTAAAAATAACACACTGGGGAAACGCTGAGAATCCGCACGAGCGACATAAACAAGATCACACATTGATGACAACTTCTAAATATAATATTGTCGCGTATCTCATTCATGATTTCAGGTGCTTTTTCGCTATTTCCCCACGGTCACCTAACTCGGCGAGATCACGCCACAAAGTCATCCACTTTCCTCATCGCGGACGCTGGTCATGCAAAGACATCGGAAAAGTAATTACCTTCCGTGCACATGAAGAGTATGGCAGCAATCGAGAGCCTCGCTTGCCATCTCAGAGCCATTTCCGCGACTGTTTCTGGAGACGTTTGCACTTTGATACTGAAAAGATTCACATCATCCACATGAGATCGCTTCTATCACCATCCACCACTCACATGACACAAAATAATGTTTTTCTCTTCCCTCTCTCTCTCTCTCTCTCTCTTTTTCTTTCTATATATTTCTTTTCTCTTGAACACTTTATTTCGTTATGACCTTTGAACCGCGCACTGCTCACAATCGCATTTGCGGCGAAACGATATCGGCGGCTTATCAGCCGATTAGTTTGAGATTTCAATCCGTTTGCCGCTCACTACGCGCGATCGACTCAGAGAAAGATAAAATACCGGGGGATAACAGCGGTTTAACCGGAGCTTTTCTCTCTAAGACACACAATCTGGTCCGTCGCCGCGAGGGTGCATACACTTCTACAAGATGAGTATCCCTTGTAGCAACCGCCACGTAGACGATAACGCGTCCGGAAATGATTATGGCGAAACTTTCGACAGGCGGTATGCCGCGTGCCGCGAAACTTTCCACCTATCGTCCACTTCGCTTGCACACACTGCTCGTGCAAGGTCCTCGACCTGTCGCGCTTCTCCACGCGCGAATTCGACACGACAGTTTCTTCGGGGTCGTTGAAGATTTTCGCGGAGTTGTGAGCCACATAGCGATACGCGACGGTCGAGAAAACACAACCTAAGTAAGTTCTCGACGATCGATAATTATCGTCGAAGCTATATCGATCGATTGCGCGCGATTCCGCCGGTTTGAAAGTAACCGCTGAGAGCTAAGACTCTCGTGTGCACTTTCGTTCCGTCGCTTGCGATTACTGAAGATCGCGTAGTCAGTGGTCGCAGGGAGGTTCTCTCAGTTCATCGTGAAACTTTCATATCCACTCACGTACATTTCCACTCTTTCGCGACGATTAATAATTCACCGTCTCGGAAATTGTTTTCTCTTTACGGGTTTGCCGTTTGTCTTCTTTTTTTTTTCTTTTTTTCTTCTTTTTCTTTTTTTCTTTTACTTCCGCCTTTCTCGTTGACTCCTTCTCTTTGCCGCGTCGATTACGTTACGACGATCAACTCGAAACTCCACCCTCCGCGGTTTTTCATCATGTTCGATTCTCGCCACGCGAGAAGTTCAAAACGCCGCGCTATCTTAAAAAATCATCCGGGCGATTGTTCGTGTACGCGACATTGTATATAACATAACGGTGTACACGCACCACGTCTTGTTTCGGTGGCAGATTTACCCTGACTGGGAGATACTCGGCCGTGGGAGCATGCGCGTTTCCGATCCACCCCCCTGTGACGATGGGAGCGCGCAGAAGATCCACGGATGCACTCACACACGTAGAAACACACGCCGGCGCACACACCCTCGCGCTCTTGCTCCAGGCAGGAGAGAACGTCGACACACATTCGTTCAGAAGCGGGCACGCACATGCACACGCACACGTGTGCATGTGTGTGGTAAGAGAAACCTCTCCTTCGTCACTCCCTCTCTCGCGCTTCTCACCCTTTCTCCTTATCCTCCAGGACGTACGGCACTGTGTGTCACGAGCAGAAACTGTGGCAGGGCGTGCAAGGAGTGCAGAATCAAGGTACGAAATCTACGATACACTTAGAAGAGAGACGCTGCGATGGGCTTAAAGATTTACTCGCGTCTTCACATACTTGTCAATCCAATCACGAATATATGACTAACCCTCTCCTCACTGTCGTCGAGCTTTGAGAGATTTCTTCTAGCCGACATATGAAAAGTTCCGGTGACGCGGAGAAAATCGCTAGACTTGAAAATTGATTCCTGATATTCTAATTTTCAAAATCTCTCTTAAGTTATAGAATCTTCGTACAGCTAACGTAAAATCGCATCGATAAAAAGTGACAAAAAAATATTTAAAAAACTATTAGACAAGTTGAAGAAAGAAAGTCGAGGAATCTAAGTCTGTCATTATTAAATATCTGAAATATTTCACCTTTTATCTATAAAATTTGATAGCGATCGGGAGTAAAACTACACTGTTTTTTTTTTTATTTTTAAAGACAAACACGATCTTAAATAAAACACGATTGTTTATAAATTTACAAATTTAAAACTGTTTTTTATTAGATATTTTCACAAAGTAATAGTTTATAGCGCGCTTGTTTAAATTTACTACTTTGATAAAAAAAAAATTTTGATTACATTTCATACACCTGTACCTGTATCGAGCGTATAAAATTCAGGTGTTCGTTTTGATTTTATGTTTCAATACAAAGAACCCCGGCGCAAAATTGTAAACACTAACTTTGGATACTATCAGTTTAAAACAACTTGCTTCCTGTTACTCACAACTTTAGTTTTACACATGTGTTTATTATACTTTTTTAAATCTTTTTTTATTTTTGCACGTGAAAATATTGTTTCGCGCTCTTTGTATATATTTGCGAGTATGTTTGTATTCTTCCGAGAGAAATGCCGATTCTCCTAAATATCGCAAGAAATTGAAGCTGTCTTTAACCGAAGAATACGAGACTTCGGAAATGCAAGTAGTAACACGAACTCGAGCAACGAAAGTAGTTCAGCTAAAAAAGAAACAGGAATACGAATTATAAAGAAACAGGTAAATACGAAAAGAAACACGTTGCAGGAATACAAAATAATACGTATAAAAGTTTCAGAGTATTCTTAAAAAGTCGTGCGCCATACGTGCCCGATCGTGGAATCGCACGAAGATACAAGTGCCTTCGATCTACATCCGAAAAGTATGCTTGCAATGTTTTTTTCGCTTTGTTGCGCACGAATGCATAAAATAAACCTTAGATCAACATGGAAAAAATATTGTTGCAAAAATAATTTTTTTTTTTTTTTCGACGATATGTAAATTAAATAACTTGCGTTTGGTTTTAACACAGATCGCGTGTAAACGTACAAACAAAGACCATGATGACAATGAAATGTCAACTGATGGAAATTCTGTTTCGCCAAAAGCGTAATACTAGGAAAGAGTATTGAGTGGAACTAATCGTACTATCAGCGATCCAATTGATACGGGCGGATACGTCAGCCGCGTTTTTAAAGTATGTCATCGATACATGAACTTTTTGCGCGAAAATGTATATTGGTAATTTTGAAAATTGCTCGTATTTTTATTTCGCCGGCTATATCGATCCGTGGTCGTGACGGGGCGTTATTTTTGCACGGTGAAGCAACATTGAAAAATACCGGCGTAAATTCTTATCGCGGAGAGATGCAAGAAACGTGGTTTAAATTAAGAAGGATTTTTCGAAAAGCAGTCGATCGTCAGTAAATTAATGCATAAGCAATAAAATCGACAACAATATATTGCAAACAAGTACTTTTGCAATATTAAAATACGTATAATTCACAATTTACAAAATTATTATAATAATAACTATTGTTTATATCAAACTGAAATTTTTACTATATAATAATCTATCAACAAGAAATCAGTTTATTAATTCGATTTCTTATACGCGGTTAACATTTCTCTTGATATTCAGCAGTGCATCGTCTTCGACGATCTTCTCGTTCGGCGAAACGATACGTTTTCTACATGCGTTTCGCATTTCGCAACTCGTGAGAAGAATATCGGAACAGCTTGCGTATCGGGAATATCGAGTGATCTAATATTTTATTACGATGTCAGTAATTTCGATGATAATATTCTCAATATATCTCACAAGGACGACGGTGCAACGCGCGTAGGGAGCGTAGACGAAGTTAGCCGCGTGTACGCGCGAGCGCACAAATGACGTCATGCGATTCAAACCGTCGCTTGTCAGTTCACGTTGTACATTACCGGGGTAGCGTACGACATTGGAATTGCATCTACATTTTCGCGTCTTCTTGTCTATCCTGAACTACTTTCGCGTACAAGTGAATATCGGGAGTGTCGAAGGTGACGAAGCGAATAACGGGCGATTGTTTTGATTGTTAATTATGTTGCAAGTAGCGTGTTCAATAACAATAAACTTTTATTGCATAGGAATGTACGTCGTTGTGCGTCTAGTAGTTTTCGATTCATCAAACCTCGCTGTTCATCGATCCATTGTTGATGTATTTGATCATCAAGTACGGACTACCCGGTTTGTTGAAGATCGAAGAGTATTAAAAGAGACTTAGCACATTCATTAGCATTTCATGAGATAGCAAAAGTGATGTTTCTCGGTAAGCACAGTCTGCGTTTTATTATGATAATAATTTTTATGTAAAAATATACTTAAGTGATTTATTACTATGTTGTCCAAATCAGTTTTGAGAGGATCGCAAGATTGTAGTTATTACATATAACTTACTCAAACGTAAAACAAAATTATAATACAAATAAAATTCGTAACACTTGGAAAGATATAATAAAGAAAAAAATTCACGTTTTTCATCCTGTTCGTTAAATAAAAACACACAGATTTACTAAAAGTTTAAAGTTCCAAATCCGACATTTGTTTATGCGGAACGTGCTCACCCGATTTACCACGTAAATTTGCCACGATTCACAACTTTTAACTGGTTTACCGCGTCGCGACAAAATGGAAGTAAATATCGCGGGAGATTTTCCAACCGTTATTCGACGCGACTTAACGCGGCCCGAATTGAGGGCCACGTATTGAAAAATACTTCATCGTTTGATTTACGTTTGCGCGTATCATCGCTTTTAAGCTGCCAGTAGTAATCAGCCGAACGCGACCGGCCACCGCCATTTCCCTCGATAGCGCTTTTTCACTGTGTGAAAACGCTCTGAAACTTTTACTTCCCATTTGGTGCAAATAGAGATCTGCCATCCCGATTCGCGTACGTATTACAACCATTAACGTTTTCAGTCGTGGATATTGTTTGTGTTCGAATGTTTTGTAGAAACAACAGTCAAAGAAAGCAAGCGAGATGTTCTATTAAGAAATAACTCAATAAATTGTAATCAAATATAAAATTATTCAACACAGAAATGTATATCATATATATTGTATACAGCTCTGTGCATAGTTTTGCTTAGTATACATAACAGATTTAATGATAAATCGTATATATTTGAGATGGTACATGATGCATAATGAATGTGTATAGATCGGCAACATTTCTAGTCTTAGTAAATATTCGAACATCCGTGATAAGGTCAGCACAGAGGCTTTGAATATTAACTCACGTCTCCATTTTGCATGTCGACGCGATCGTGGATATATTCAGGCTTTGGGCGAGCCTAAACGATCATGCGATATTGCAGTATGTCAGTGGTTGCAGCACTAAGGTGTGTATCCGCATGAAAGTACATCATATGTTGTCATGTAAAATACGTAACGTTACGTACTTGCAAGTGATGCTGCTTATAGCGATAGATACATGCATCACTACTTCCGTAAGATAAAAAATTTACGATCTACGACAGATACGTGTATGGGCAAGTAATATTTTCAATATTCTGCAACTGCAATAAAAAGAAATTGTTTTTTAACTTTTACACGTGTACGTGTGTGCGATATAAAAACTTGTGTCCTTTTCCGACGTAAATTTTGCAGAACGATCTCGATAGAAATTTTATTTAGTAGAAAAAAAGAATGAAGAGTTAATTAAACAATTGAAATAAAAAGAGAAAGAGAGAGAGAGAGAGAGTGAAACGTTTCTGTTAGTATGTTTATACCGATTTCTAATGTAAATTTGTATTTGTTGAAATACAAGTTTAATTATGATAATTCCCGCGCAATATATATTCTACGGTGTGGACTTCGATATACTTTTTTATAATCTCACATGAAACTGTGTTGTCCATGAAATTTTTAATTTAATTCAATCTCATTAATTTTTACCGCACGTATATGTTACTTTATTCGCACAAAACACGCGCATGCTTTAAACACAATTTACCCCTTCATTACTACATAAATAGAGGTTAAAGGAGGTTCTGAATTTCGTAATAAAAGCACGTCACACATATGAAACGTGTCAATGATTATTCAAACGAATTTCTGTTCAAAATTCGTTCTCTTTCTCTTGAAAACAATATATTTTATTTAAAACGACAAACGCCAATAAAGAAAGCGCGCGTAATCGGAGTGACATTTATACCGGGGGCCATGTGGCAAGCAAATCGACGCCCTCAATTTGCCGTCATTATCGGTAAATAATTAAACATTTGCGCGCGCGCCGCGAGGGTTGACACACAGAACGTGCAGCAGACGTATTTTCGCTCGGCTGGTCGTCGGTTTAGTTCGTTTGCGGTAGTCATAAAGAAAAAGGGTACGGTTC